AAACTACTTTGGATATTTAGGGGTTAGTCTCATTACTTTGTCCACCCTGAACTGTGAAGTCCACCTTTGACAAGTCATGATCTTCAGTCCTGAAGAACAGAAGAATCAAAAGAGTGGATCTTAAGTGCTTTCTGCATGATAATGTTTCTGCGGCTATTACTGCCTTTCCTCTTGATTACCTAAGCCAGCTAAGCCATGCTTTTGAGCTTTCTGCTCATTTCATAAACTGCCAGACAGCAATTTGTGGAGCAGACAGTTGCAGATTTCCTTCACAGAGTCCAATGGGTCCAGCAGGGTTGACTGCTGGCCGTGTGGCCACTGGAATGGAAAGAAACTCATGGAAAGTGATGCTCATGGGACTTCAAAGGGGTGCACTGTCTGGTCTCTGTGGGCTGGACTGGGACTGCACACTTTGTCAGAATTCCCTTCAGTACTTGGTTTCTGTGTTCAAAAAGACCATCTAACTGGCCATGATATACTGACATTTTTAGCAATTTAATTAAGAGCCTTGGAGAGTTCTTCCATTGTAAGAGACATGAAATTAGTGTTGTAATGTATTTTGATTTGGTTACACAGACTGGCTTGGGAACAGAGATTTTATGAGATGATTTTCTACTGCTAATGGGCTTTGAAAACATATTTCTGGGTGGTGGAAGATATAATCTAGCAAGATCCCACAGTCTAACGATCATAACAAGGATATAAGAGTATCCCACCTGATTTCTCCTGAGGGAACCAACTAAAGTAACCTATAAAAGAGAGTGCAGAAGTAGCTAGGCCTATGATACTTTTGAAAAATACTGCAGATAGGATAGACGTTCAACATCTTGTAGGGTACCCTCTACATGCTTACAAACATTAAGATCCAATTTTTAGTTCCTATACAAACTGTGTCTCATGTAGTCTGTGTAGGTGTGGGACAAGGTCTCTTTACTACATGTATGCTGAAAGGGAGATATCTTTTTGTTATGTGAATTAATGGTTAATGGTGGAATTTGTCCAGAAATGTGGCCACAAAATCTGTCTTAATGTGGCTTCAAAGACTGTAATATTCTTAGCATTGGCATAGAGAATTCGGGATTTTGTTCTTCCAATCCCTAAGCAAAAACTATTTTCTCTAATTTACAGATGCATTTTTCTACGCAGTCATTTTGTACTTCATCCCTATAAACCTCATTTCCTAATTTAAATGCATAATAGGCACAGTTTCAATACTTAATTTATGTACATTTCTTCACAAAAGTGAGGTAGGGTAACATTTCCCCACAGAAGGTGTATAAAAAATCTGTAAAATACGTGTAACACAATTGCATGAAATATACAGAATTACTGAGCTGTTCAGAGGCACAGTCATTGTACATACTTATGTTTTCATTCTTAAACAAAACAAAAGAACTCAAACATTATTGTTTTTATGCAAAGGAGACACATTCATTCTCATCCTTTTAAATTAATGTTCAGCACACTTAAATGTAAATGAATAATTTACAACTCTGTAATTATATTAAAATCTCTGGGGGAAGGGAAGCAATACCTCTGTTTTTCTTCCAGTTATTTTTAATGGAGTCTGTAGCTGTTATGGCAGATGTTACACTTTGAATATCACTTTTGTTCCAATATCCCTACCTAATTTACAGAAAACTTGAAATCAAAATAATGGGGTGTGAATTTCCCCCATTCACTTCAGTTAGGCATGAAGTGTTAATGCCAGTCTAAAATTAGCTTGAAAAATTAGTACTGATAATTATGGGAGGACACATCTTCTCTTTTCTTCCAAACTAAATCTAATTGTAGAAAGTCTTTGTGGATAAAATGGAGAATGATGCTAAGCATATAGAAGATTTGTATGTTAAGGTCTTTAAAAACATATTGTAGGATCTGTTGGGGAGATCATAACTGGTTTATTGCATCCATTTAGCTTGAAGACAGACTCAACTTTCATCAGTTTGGGGTCTGTTATGTCAGGTAATATGTAAAAAGACCATAAGATCGTGAATCATTGACAAAATACAGTTTTTTACATTTGTAAGGTATCTAAGACCTTCATTGGGAGCTGTAAATTCAGTCAGTGATGGACTGGACTGTAAACACAAACAGAAATAAATTCTCCTCTGTCTCTATATCCATAAATTCCCTTCTTCTTTTTAAACAACTGCTGTAGTCCCAGATTTAATTGAAACAGTGATTAAAGTATCTGTACCTGCATGCTCAAGCACACTCCTTGACAGCAGAAATGCATGCCTGTCACATTTTTGCAAACCTGTTGCTTTCCCTTAGGAGCAGGCAAGCCCATGGACTGGACTGAAACATTATGTCCCAGGTCCAAGGAGAGCATGAGCAGGTATTTCTAAAAGCTGTGTGTACGGAGTACACGCTTATTCTTATTGCAAGGAGCGCAGTATTTTTCCTGTTGCCAATGTACAAAACCAGGACTGGAATTTTCAGCGTTGCACAATGTGGTACTCACGCTGTGAGCTTGATTGATAGGTATTTGCAATGCCAGGGTTTTGGGGTTGTTTTTTTTTGTTTGTTTGTTTTTTTAATGTTGCTTGTATGTGTGCTAATGGTAGTCTGCAAGCTACACCACTTGCTTAATCAAGATCCTGCTTTGATACAGAAATGAGACATTCTGTATTTCTGGGTGTCTTTTGTACCACTGGACAGCAGTGGGAACTGTGTCAGTAATTTCAGAGGCAAGGGAATGAGGACCTGTAGAGCAGTGTAAGTTTTATTGAATACTGAGTAATGTTTCTTAGCAAGGCAAAATAACTTTTCTCTTACTTTCATTAGTTTTCTGTTTTCTTTGCCTTTGTCCCCAGCTTTTATCCTCTTATTTTCATAATCATGAGAAGCCAAATTAATCTTGGGTATAAGACTACCAAACCAGCTTTGAATTTCTTTGACTGTTCTGACTGTTTAGACTTCTAGCTCAGCAACAAGGGCCAGAGACTAGCTAGATCTTATCAGATGAGATACTGGGTGGCTCATTAGTTAGACAGATCCATCTCCCATTCAGCCTCAGATGCCCACATGTAAAGACACATCTACTCATATCATGCCAGGTATCCACTCATGACTCACTTTATTTTCTTTTTGTATTAGGTATGCCACAGGTCATATGCTTTGCTTCCAATAAGAATCACTTACTCCATCTGTAAGTAACTGCATAATCAAATCCTGAGAGAGTAGGAGGAAACGGACCCAGAGGAGCACTCTTCCCTTCAGAGAAGTAAAGCAATAAAAATAGGTGGCAAAACAGCTGGTGAAACTGTGGAGAGAGAAAGAAAAATTTCCAGAGTGTAAGACTGCAAATTGAGAAATGAAAGTAGTTTCAAAATGGTGGAAAACAGTTAAAATAATAAAATGGTAAATCCAGAGGGGAAAACTAGAAGATCCGAGTCAGGATCAATGGAAACAAATGATAAGCAGAAAAAGCAAAATACACAGAACATTCCCATCTGTCAGCCAGAACAAACCATCAGGGTAACAGCTTGACATGCTTTTCTGATTTTTGAAGGAAGGAAAGTGGCAGCAGAAATAGTGAGGAGGACAATTTTAAAACCTGATACTGGAAATTAAAGGCTTCTATTCAGCAGTTTCTGAAATAATGCAAGTTTTGCTGTTCTAATTGTAAATAGGGCAATATAAGTTTGCTTTCAAATGAGAGAAAACATAATTTAATTTATATGTATTTGCATTGCATATGTGGTGTATGATGGCTTTATTTTAATAATATTCTGTCTTTATAGAATTCTTTTAATTGCTCTTTAGTAGCCAGGTAGATTGCAATGCAGTATCTTGTCAAAGAGATGGCAACTCTGTGCACTGCTGCTGTAGTGGAGGTGGAGTAAATCCTGAGGAGTCCCAACCTTGTACTGACAACGGAGCCCTTTACTGACTACAGAGCATAGGTACTCTCCTTTACCTCAATAAGTTTGTGTTTCTGGAGCAGGCCAATCTACTGTTTAACCTTGCTGTCCCCAGTATAGTTTTGCATACGTGCCAGTAACAAAACATAGGATTGCAACATCCAGGTCACTCGCCTGTCCTCATCCATGGAGCCGGAAAATCTTTTTATGCTGAAAAGCAGCAAAAACATCCAGCAAAACCATTCAGCTTCAAACTCAGCTGCCTGGACTTCAGAGTCTTTGATGACGCCTATGCCTCAGTTCCCATTATAGTTACTGGAGCCCACTCAGCTCACCATGTGCATTTAATTTAGGAAGAGCTGAACAGCTCTCTAGACTTAGATCTAGACTCTAAGCTTATCTGCTGAAGATCTTGATTGACTACAATGGGAGTGCAGACACCTTGCTGATGTATGGACACCTGCGTGTAGGGGTCTGAATCTGCAAGTTAACATCCTGCTTTTGAGGTGATGTAGCCTGGCCAGAGCACTGGGGAGTCCCTCAGGCTGGGTGGATGCACAATGTGCCTGGCAGCCTGGGCTCCACCTGCCACCCAAGCCCTGACACCGCTGTCCTGCATGAGGAGGCTGCATGGCCGCTACCAGCAGTCAGCAGGCTGGTGAGCTTGGTGGGTTTGTTCTTGTTCTGGGATCAAGTATAAGGTATCTTGTATAGTGAAAAACTTGTCAGGTACCATTTTACTCAGGACTGGTGGATGTTTTCTCTACTATGGGCAAACATACTGTCTGAAGACCCTGTTTTATAGCGCCTGCATGCAAAACATCCCACTATCATTCACCACAGCTTTATGATTCTGCTAAATTATTCTGGGCCATTTGGAGTTAAAAAAAAATAAAAATAAAAGGTTTGGTTGTTTATTCCTACAAGGAAAATTATAAAATCCATGACTGTTATTTAACATCCAGTTCACTGTAGTTCTTTGGCAGTGCTCCCTCCTGTATTTCCTGGCCATGTTGCTACAAACAAGCTTTTTGGAGGGGTGACAGCTGACACAGGGAGTTTGAAATGCAGCTGAGACTGGAAGAGTTCCTTTTTGTATTTATGATTGTATTTGCTACTATGTCTAGTAAGATCCCTGACTTACAAGATATTGTTTAGCTTATAAAGTAAAATCAAGTATTACAGGTCCTGTTTTCATATTAAACTCTTACCAAATGTAAAAATAAATAAATTTTAGAGAAGTCAAACGTTCTGGTATTTTCTGTGTCAAGATGATCCAATGCAGACAGTGCAGACTAAAGAGAAGAATTTTTGTGTTTGTAGTTTAAATAAGATGAGGTTAATATTATCTTCTTAAATGTAATCTCTTTCTACAGTGACAGGATATCATGTTTCTAATTTTAATTAAAAATGATGGGTGGGTTGGATCACTAAAACTGAGTTTTGGGTTTAGGGTGTGGAAGTACAGCCCTGCTCCTTCCTGGCTGGGACTGCTTGTGTCTGGACTCACCTTTTCAATTAATTTTCAGTAATTACAGGGTGCTGTGTGGGATGGGGATAAAGAGAAACAGAATTAAAATGTAATGCTTCTCCTTTGGTATCTGGCATCCTTATTTATTTTAAACTACCTTCAATGCACTGAAGAGTTTAAGTTCCTGTATCACATACTATGCAAGCAGAAATATGTGAGTGAACTGCTGCCAATGACTCTGAGCAAGCATGGGGCATGATTCAGATTACACTGTGTTTTCTTGTTTGGATCTGATCTCCTTGCTAGGAGAGGCTGAGAAAGGTTGCTCTAGGGGATTTACTTCCAGCAGCAGCAGCACATGATCCGTCAATCGCGTGATTCTCACCACCAAGGACTAATGGGGAGGGTGAAGAAAAAGTGAATGCTGCTTTGGGGAAGCAACAGCATTTTCTTCTGCTCGTGGGGCCCCTCCACCAGCCGAATGCTTCATGGCTTCTCCCAGGTTAGAAACCTACTGCTGCCCGAACCAGGATGCAGCTACACAGCTAGTGATGAACTTCCAGCCGGAAGTCTTCTGCGGAGTTTGCATTGGCAGCTCCTCCATCAGTCTGCTACTGACCATCCTGCAGCTTCTGCCGAAGAAGGGACAGAGCCCACGGAAGATGCCCAAAGCCTCCTCCTCTTCCACCATCCTTCTCCTTATCTCCATTTGTGACATCCTTGGTAGCTTAGGTAAGTGCCAGCTTGATGTCCCTTACCCTTTCTGTAGCAGGCTCTTGTTGCTCTGAGGTACCACAGCCAAATGAAGATGGTGAGTGAACAATAGAGATTTCTGAGGGAAACATGCTGCATGTATTCACAGGCAGATTTGGGCCAAGTGAGAGCAGTAGGTGATTGGCCTCTGGGGGAGAAAGGTCTTGTTTGGTAGCTATATTTTAGAGGTAAAAGCTCTTGACAAATTTACACCAAAATCTGCTTTAAAACATACTAAAATTTAAAACAATGGAAGGTTCTCAGAGTAAGGCATAAAAGTAGAGGCAAGGCAGCACATTCAGAACTAAAGCTGACATTAAACACTTATCCAATCTGTAGGACTACATTTGAAGAACACTTCTTATATGTCTTTAAATCGTCTCAGAAAGAGTTTGCCATCTCGTTCACATGCCAGCCACTTCTCTGGGCACATCACATTGACAGCAAATGAGTTTGAATTGCAGCCATACACAGATCATGCTGGACACAGGCTTTTGAAATGCAAGCAGAGCTCCCTTATCAAGGACAGCCTGCTGTCAGTCCTGTAGCTGATAGGCTGGAGGAATAAAACAACAGAGAATAAAACAAAATTAATGAGTCAAAATGGAACTAATGTGTCTAAATCTGTCCTGTCAGTCTATGGCATTTACTGCCAAATTAGGTATAAATTACCATGACACATGCTATGAAAAGACAGGATGAGTTTGTTTCTACAATAACATTTCTCCCCCCCCCCCCCCCCCCCCCTTACATTAGGTAAGAGAAGTAGTGCTGTTTTGTAAGTCTCTCTTGCTGCCTGGGAAAGGACTGGAATTTCATGTCTTTTCCCCTTTTATACCTAGCCAGATTCTCTCATGGTACATAGTAAGTACTAATATTAAAACAAATCATAAAGGGGGAAATAAAGAAAGGAAGATATGGGAAAAACATGTGCATTCACCTGGAAAAGGTCCTTTCAGTTAGATGAGAATGGCAACAGATAGTTATTTTCTCCCTTTCTCTTTCACTGACAAGCCATTTGTCCATCATTGTGTTTGAATTAAACTCATTTTGGTGGATCAGAAACCGTTCCCTCCTAGTGGGAAGCTTGGTGGCTTTGTTCTGCTATATGTTGGTGCTTCAATGCCTATTTCAAGCAAACCCAGAAAATATCACTAAAAAACTCTTAAGTTTGTTTAAAAAAAAAAAAAGTGTATTGTTCCCATGCAGTACCAATGCCCTCTTTATTCAGACCTGTGACAGAGAGGAAGAAAGCTGATTGTACAAGTGAAGACAGTGAAAAATGGTCAATAACTCTTTTCTGCAATGAGGACTTATAGAAAAATAAACATTAGTGTATGACTATGCTGGTAAAATTTTAGTTAGCTTCTGCTGTATGTCAAGCAGTTAAATGACACCCAATTTATTTTAGGGAAGTGTGTGACAGTATCTGTAAGTGGGTTTTTAATCTACATAACATTTCAAGTCCCATCAGCTTCAGACTCTTGGGTCTACTTTCCCTGAGCAATTACACCAGTGTTTAAATAGTGCAGTTGTTCCTGCTGTGTCCCTTTGCAGCCATAGCCTTCCTGTGGACACATAAAATCTGGGCTGTGATGTGAAATATGTGGCAGGGGAGAAGCATGTGACCGAAATCATGCCAGCAGACTCAAAGCATTAATACATTTTTTTCTTCAGGTATGATCTTCAGATCAAGTGTATGGCTAGGCTTCCCAGGTTTCATAGCTAACATTTCTGTGGTGAACGGGACCAGCGTGTGGCCTTCAGTTTTCTGCGTGGGGAGCGCGGTAGGTAAAGAGATCGTCTCCCCTTCCTCCTGTTCCAGGTTGACAGTTCCTCTACGTGGGAAGTCTGAAAGGCAAACCACTGCATATGCAAGGAAATTTGGCTGTGAGTCAGAGCCTGGATATGATAGTTTCAGCCTTTGCCACACCCCTGCAAGTGTGGTCATGCCTCCTTTCAAAAGCCTGGATCAGGGCGGGCAGGGTGCTAGATGCCACACAGTGCATGTGAGGACACAGGGCAGCATCAGTCACACCAGTCCCAAGCTTTTTGTAGTACTCGTCACAGGAATACTAGGATGGTGGAGAACACACCTGTACCAAAGTCAGGGCTATGGAGGCATAGGGTATGGTCATTCCCAAATGGGCTGTGAAGCCACTGGTTTGGTTTGTGCTGGCACAGCATAGAATCATAGAATAGTTAGGGTTGGAAAGGACCTAAAGATCATCAAGTTCCAACCCCCCTGCCATGGGCAGGGACACCTCGCTCTAAACCATATCACCCAAGGCCTCGTCCAACCTGGCCTTGAACACTGCCAGGGATGGAGCATTCACAACTTCCCTGGGCAACCTATTCCAGTGCCTCACCACCCTAACAGGAAAGAATTTCCTCCTTATATCCAATCTAAACTTCCCCTGTTTAAGTTTTAACCCATTACGCCTTGTCCTATCAGTACAGTCCGTAGGGAAGAGTCCCTCCCCAGCATCCCTCTAGGCCCCCTTCAGATACTGGAAGGCTGCTATGAGGTCTGCACGCAGCCTTCTCTTCTCCAGGCTGAACAGCCCCAACTTTCTCAGCCTGTCTTCATACAGGAGGTGCTCCAGTCCCCTGATCATCCTCGTGGCCCTCCTCTGGACTTGTTCCAACAGTTCCATGTCCTTTCCATGTTGAGGACACCAGAACTGCACACAATACTCCAAGTGAGGTCTCACGAGAGCAGAATAGAGGGGCAGGATCACCTCCTTCGACCTGCTGATCACACTCCTTTTGAGGCAGCCCAGGATACGGTTGGCTTTCTGGGCTGCAAGCGCACACTGAAGCCGGCTCATGTTCATTTTCTCATCGACCAACACCCCCAAGTCCTTCTCTGCAGGCCTGCTCTGAATCTCTTCTCTGCCCAACCTGTAGCTGTGCCTGGGATTGCTCCAACCCAGGTGTAGGATCTTGCACTTGCCATGGTTAAACTTCATGAGGTTGGCATCAGCCCACCTCACAAGCATGTCAAGGTCCCTCTGGATGGCATTCCTTCCCTCCAGCGTATCAACCGAACCACACAGCTTGGTGTCATTGGCAAAGTTGCTGAGGGCGCACTCAATCGCACTGTCCATGTCAGTGACGAAGATGTTAAACAAGACTGGTCCCAACACAGATCCCCGAGGGACACCACTCATTTCTGGTCTCCAGCTGGACATTGAGCCATTGACCATAACTCTTTGCGTGCAGCCCTCCAGCCAGTTCTTTATCCACCGAGTGGTCCATTCATCAAATTGTTGTCTCTCCAATTTAGAGAGAAGCATCACCTATGTCCCAGAAGGTATGTAGCATGAGGGCATCTATCTGCCCGCCTCCTCCAGTAGAAATTATAGCCTGCCTGGTGGCAGCAGGGACCAACTGAAGCCAGCAACTTGGGTAGCTCAAATTAGCTTTTGCAGCAGGAGTATCTGTTTTAGACAGAGGGACTGCAGGATAAATATACCAAAGTTGCAAAGTTGCTGGCAGAAGGTCTGCCCCTGCCATGTAGCCTTACAGTTCAGATTGCTGCTAATATGGACATTCATCGACCACATCTGGCCAAGTCTAATTAACTATCTTCTGGATTAAAACACAGGAATAAGAAAATGTAAATCACCTAAAGTGCAGATTGAAACTCAATTTCAAGTATTGCAGTCGCAGTACAGTTGAAGACATATAATTTGAGTTTACTGTACAAGAAAAAGGCCATGTGTTGTGGTTTAACCCCAGCCAGACAGCTTGTTCAACCACTCCCCCCCCCTTCTTGCCTTCCCCCTACTCCTGAAGGGATGGAGAGGAGAATCAGAAAGAATGCAACTCCCACGGGTTGAGAGAGAAACAGTTTAGTAACTAAGGTATAACACAAATCACTGCTGCTACCACCAATAATAATAATTATAAAGAAAATAACAAGGGAAGAGAATACAACACCTCATCACCAGCTGATCGATAACTCGCCCCCCCCCCCCAGCCTGACCAAGCACTGACCGATACCTCCTCCAACCCTGCAGTCCACTCTAGCCCCTTCCGGGTCACTCCCAGTTACATCCAGGGCATGACGTGCTGTGGTATGGAATACCTCCTTGGTCAGTTTGGGTCAGGTGTCCTGTCTCTGCTTCCTCCCGGCTTCCCCTCCTCCCTGGCAGAGCATGAGGCTCACAAAGTCCTTGGCCAACCCAAAACTTCGTTATCAGCTCTGTTCCCAGACCAAAAGTCAAAACACAGCACTGCACCAGCTACCAAGAAGGAGAAAAATGACTGCTACTGCTAAACCCAGGACACCATGTTATACCAAAATGTGGAGAATGACAATTAAGACAGGTTATCACTTTACCCAAAATCAATTGGAATTTACGGTGCCCAATGAATTAATGCATAAGCAGTATCAGCTTTACAATCCAAAGATTACAATATAGAAGATGATATGCTCCATGTAAACAAAATTGTTTTGTCCCAGTAGTTTTAAAATAAAACCGTATGTGCCAAATTGAATTGACTGTACCTTATATGCCTATATAATGACAATTTAGACATCATAGTGTTGTTCCATAGAATTAAATATCAGCTGTATGTATCTATCATTCTCAGCTCCGTCATACATGTTTAAGTTTTGCTTACTAGATACAAATGGATTTTTTTTCTTTTGAGAAAGAGAAAACCGACATCATCAACACCTTGTAACAAGAATATCCTATTGAAAACCCATGTTTGCGTATGTCTTAAATTTCAGTTTCTGTCCCTTAACACAAAAAGTAGTATTTTTAAATACTGGTAAAGATACTGCATGCAGACTATTCGCTTGTCATTTTGATCTCAGGGTATATGGTGAGCAGCACAGCAGACTAACACAGCTTTTATTTCCCTTTCCTTGGGTTCCAGCAAAGTTCTGTAATTTGGTCATTTGCTAAACTTAGATTTAATTATATTGGAATGAAAAATAACCCTCCTTCCACGCACTTCCCCATATATATTCTCTTGTGAGTTAGTAAAATGTTTCTGTTTCTGTTTTATTTTTCTTTTAGTACTATTGTTTTATTTCACTTAACCATAAGCCAATACAAACTCCAAATAAGGGGGCCTTTAGGCATCTCCTTTGAATAACATCCTCTGGTTTGCAGAGGGGTATCCTCTCAGGCACTGTAGCAAAATGTGTCATCTTGCTAAAAAGTCAGCTAGCGTATGAAGATCTGGGGGGGTTAGTGCATCTGGTTTATATTATTTTTGGAGACATTCTTGTCTATGTTGGATTTTATGGGTGGAAAGACCCCACAGTTTATTTTTGTGTGTGAGTGTATAGTAAATTGTGCATTTTTCAACTGCAGCAAATACATGCAAGGGAAGTTACATGCTGAGTGCTATGGGTAAAGTCCATTAGAAAGAAAGAGGAATATACCATGGTGTTTGAATTAAATACTGACTGATTTGTGCTGCAAATGTCTAGAGGAAGGGTCTACACCCATGGTGAAAGGAAATATTTCCCAGCTTGATTAGTCTTCGGAGGAAGGAATGGTAGATCTATATTCATTGTGGTTTGGCTCAGTAACAAGTATGCTGGTTTCGAGCTGTAAAATAATCCTACTATGGAGCCATGCTAAAGGATGTCCAGATAAGAACTGAAAGAGGGCTTGGAGGGAAGGTAACCTGAATATTAAAATAGTTCCAAACTATTACAAAGAGCCAGCTCTTATGGGAAGAAGTTTGGCATTGATAAACAGTGGCAAAGCAAGGTCCCTTATATAGACTCATGGGAAAAATACCTAGGGTCAGCTTATGACTACTGTGGAATTTAACTTGACTTGAATCTGTACCTTTTGGATTTTTATTGAAGAAATCAGTCAGGGAGTTCAGTATGGGTAATTTCTCCAGAAGGTGAATGATATTTTTGTTAATGACCTTTTTTTTCTTAATAACTATTCCCTGAATTGGTATCTTGTACCTGAGGAATATGCCCATCACATGCAGAACTCACAATACATACGCACACTGTGGTGATGACTGACCTCAGTGGTCTTCTTATGCTTCAGTTACTGAGAAACTACTAAAATTTTAACCTAAAATTACAACTTCCTCACTATAAATTTCTTTGGGCTTCACTCACAACAGTGAAGGTTAGCACTGGAGAGGTAAATAACAGGTCTTCTAAACAACAGAAAAAGCTCTTGACAGCAAATGTTTTTCAATTAGCCTGTGACTTGACCTGTTGGCTGTAGCCATGCTGTTCCTGTGATTTTGAGTAAGATTTCATACTTTATAATTTTAGCTGGAAAATGCATGTTTAAAGAACAAATCTCCAGGCTAAAGGTTCGAGTCCCTCCCCTGTCCCAAGTGGTCCTTGAGAAGCAGCTGTGACATTTGGCACTTTTTTCCCCTGCAGATGTGGATCCAGCTATTATATAGTGCTGGCTTCTGGTGGTTGTTTTGCTATGCCGTTGATTCTTATCTGGTGGTAAGAAGATCAGCAGGACTGAGGTACCAGTGTTAAAGCTCTGAATTTGTTGATTTCCTTCCAGCAATGTATATCCATGTTTGTCTGCAGTTATCTAAGTAAGTGAAGCTTGTACAATTATCTGATGTTCATATGGTTACCAGGTAAAGAAATGGATGAGGGGTGTGCTAAATGCTGAAATTGCCAAGGCAATGCTCAGATACTGATTCGTTTACGTCTAACTAGAATTTAAATGTAGCTGAGTTCATTCGACCTTTGGAAAAACAGGGAGCAGATTGGACTCTATAAACTTTATTGCAGCAAGATAGCTACTTCTGTTCCTACTCTGTACTTAAAACTGGTTCTTGCAAGGAAAAATAAAGAAGTGTTAACCTGAAAATAAAAGTGTGTGTAGGGAGGTGTTGGATTTCATACAGTTCATTCCTCCAATTTTCTATCTTATCTCTTTCTCAATACCGTCATTATTACACTTCTGGTCACATTTGTAAAGTTTTTAAGAAGAATTTTACATATTTATTATTTATTTTTCTGCAATGCTTGTAACAGAAGAACCTAAACCCTTTGGAAAGTACCATGCTGGACAGGAAATACGAGGTGTTTCTAAGCTGGCTGTTAGAAGGGCAAAATGACCTTCAGTTGCTACTGCTAAACATGGAATTACATGACTCTGTTCTTGGATAGTACTGAGCAATCAGGTGTTGGAGACATGGTTTTTCTGGCAGATGTTATCAAAATGGGGATTTTTGAATTAACTTCAGCCTGTGGAGAATAAACCTGATTTTGTGAAGTCACACAGTTCTAGTCTGAAACAGCTAGGACATACCTTCTTCCCCCACACCTGTTAACCAAAACCTCATCTGTATTTGGGCTTGATTGTGTTCAAGGCCTGATTGGACGGGGCTTTGAGCAACCTGGACTACTGAAAGGTGACCCTGCCTGTGGCAGGGGGTTTAGAACTAGACACTCTTTAAGGACCCTTCCAGCCCGAGCCATTATCACAATTCTGTGATCAGAGTAAACAAAGAAAAACTTTCTAACACACAGATCTGAATCTCCCTAAAATGGGACAATATCTAACTTGGAAAGTTGAACATAATTCTCTGCAGATTACAGAAGAGTGGTTTATTTGACTTTTTAGCTCCACTCCTCAGTTTTAATCCCCTACTTTGCTCTCTGCAGGAGAAACAAAGGATGCAGGGGTTCCTTATGGAGATTTGGGGATAAGGGTTGGGGAATGTGGGGCTTCTGTGTGCAAGCCTGAACAACCACTTTGGCTTATCCTGTTGCTGAAGGGACCCACAGCCCCACCCGCTTTTCTCAGTTTAATGTACTGCTAATGTCATCCTGCACCCTTTCACAGCTGTAAAGCTCTGTTTCAGTGAGTGTACTATTTTTATGTTGCCATGTGGAAAGTGTAAGGTTTGGTATCTTTAATTGTGCCTGTCCTATTTGCTGCCTGCAGTACAATTGTGCTGTACCACATGATGACATGGGGCCTTGCGGTGATGCTCTGTGTGGAGGGAATTACACTGCTTTACTACCCTTCTCTCTCCAGGTAAGCAGGGCTCTGGGAACAGACTGCAAAATCATAGCACTCACTGGTCATCTGACTGTCTTTTGGTCATCTTTAGAGACATATGTCTAAATGTTGGGCTTTTTTGATCTTTGAAAAATGTTCCACTGAGCCTGTGAGTATTCTAGAAATACCTGCCTGAGTTTTGGGGTATATGCCAGGCAATATAGGCACTTGGGCATGCTACAGGGCTGTGATACACCTTCTGCTAAGAGCCACTCTTCTCCCAGTCCTGGTTTTAGCTTTGCATTTGTTCCTTTAAGTTTGAGAAAAATGCACAGATAGTGCATGTTAAAAATCAGCTTTGGGTTGCATGTGAACTGGTGGTAAAGGTCTCTGATTTAAAAGCTTAGCACCTGTTTGCTTCATTCCTTTTATTTTTTTTTTTAAGTTAAAGGTAACATAAAATAGCCAGAACTGTCAGCTGTGGGGAAAAAATACTCAGAAGGTGTTAATAATTTCTTCTCAGCTGTGAAAATGGCTTGGAGCATGCAATCCCACACTACATCACAACCTACGCCCCACTCCTGCTAGTGCTGGTGGTCAACCCAATCCTGTTCAGGAGGACAGTATCAGCAGGTATGTTCCTAATGGCCAGCATCAATCAGAATGTGTTACTTAGCAACATAACAGTACTGTAAAAAGTCATACGTGTGTATTCAGTGATGTGGGATAGCTCCTCATTAACTCATAAAGATACAGCAAAGGGTGGGAGGGAGTTGCTTATTGAAATGAAGATACCATCTTGATGGAAAATTTGCCCTAGAGACGCTCTGATGACATACTTAAGCTATGCTGTTAAAAATCTTTACTGCAGATTGTCAAAGGTGTTTTTATGTTATGAAATTACTCTTGATTTAAAGTATTTGAAGCAGTGTATAGTGGATGCTTAAATTCTACTTCTTAGCAGCCCTGGAGCTAAAAATAAATAAATAAAATATGATCAGAATTTTATCACTTCTGATTCTGAGATGATGAAACAAATGGGAATTGTACACAACTCAGATGGAATCTTGAAGTTCCCATTTAATTCATTATCCAGTGCTTTGAAGAAATTAGACTGAAAAGAGCCACAGATTCAGTGCATTCTTTGCATGTAATATGACCCGTGTTAGATGTTTGCAGTACCTGAATTCATACTTATCTATGCATTGAATACGTAAGAACAGCAACAGAAGACCTTGTGTTCTCAGTTCGGTCTTCGTCCCATGCATCCTGTGTCCCTCAGGAATACTAACTTTCAAAGGAACACTTGTTCCTTTGAAAAGTTGTTTCTATAAAAATTGCTCTTTTATGGGAAAATGCACACTGAGAATATTTGTGTTTGTGTGTATATATATTCCTCGTGATATCTGAACAACATGTAACTTAACTGTCTATTTTGCTGACATTACTCCTTGAAGTTTTAGAGGTATAGCCAATGCTATATCAATTACTCAATGAAATGTAATGTGTATAATAGGATAGAATATATTTTATTTTACTCTAAACATCACATAATAAATATATCACACATTATATCGAAGTTGTAAGCACTGCCTTCTGTTATAAAATGAAAGTGTGCTGACCATACTATTTTCTGTTTTCAGTGGGATTGAGAAAAGGAAAACCATCTAGTGACCTAGTGGTATATTGCTCATTTTAGGAATCCATAATGGATGTACTTTTGAGATTCCTTGATGATGGTCCTCCCAGCTTCTGAGCTGCTGCTAGAGACAAATCCATCCATTCCTTTGTTTCCTCTTTATAGACATCTATCTTCTGGATCCTTGTGCCTATAACTAACAAGATACATGTGTATTAATGAACGTGATTGTATACTTTCCAGTTGCCTCCTTACTGAAAGGGAGACAAGGGATTTACACAGAGAATGAAAGACGTCTGGGGACAGAGATCCAGATCCGCTTCTTCAAAATTATGCTGGTATTCGTTATTTGGTAAGAGGTGCATTATGTCCAGCTAGAATGGATCAGGGATAAGAATAGTCTGATGGGTTTCTTCATTTGTTTTTCTTTCTGCCTGGAAGGGAAGGTGTCTCTGGAAAAAGTAGCTCTAATCTAGTTCACAAAGTAGCTGAATCACTCATGTAGCACCAGAAGGCTGCGCGGAAATGATAAAAATGTTTAACCAACAGGAAGATAATAACCCCAAGAAACAATAGCCAAAAAAAGGCTGGGCATAGACTAAAGCTGCCTGGAACAGCAGCTACCAAGCATTGTGGGCTGATTGACAGCTTTCTGTACTCAAGATTTCTCAGAGCTTCTGGTCACCAAACACATCACTGAAAACCTACAGTAAATAAGCTTGCAAGACTGGCTTCATGGCCCTGACTATGATTATATAGTGCTGTCACCTATATGGTCTGCAGATCCCAAGTGTGTGAAAAAAAAGAATGAATATTGACTGGAAACACAAGGTCATATGCCGGAAAAGAAATCTCCATATGATTGTGTGTGAAATTTCTGATAATTTAATGCGGTTTAATTTTTTTTTGTTTTGTTTGTTTGTTTGGGTTTGTTGCTTTCTTTTTTTTTAATATTCTATCTTCCTTCATGAAAATAGTGCTTTGGGGTAGGACAGGAAAAAGGGAGGAGAGGAGGTAAGGGAACAAGGGAACTGGGGAAAGAGGGAGGGTGCAGCTTCACTCCCATAGCCACCACTCCTCTACTTCAACAGCACCATCCAGTGTGAAAGATTCTGGAGTAGTAACTGGAACTGGAGGCTCTAGATGCACACAGCAAAACTGTGAAAACGTTTTTTACTGCAATCTCACAGAGATAGATGCACCAGAAGGAGTGGTGGTTTACTCTACGAAGGTCTGTGCAATGATCTAGGAAGAAGCAGTCGCTGCTGTGAAGTGTTTACTGCCTATGTGGGTATCACAAGCAACAGGGGGAGGAATGATATGGTCCTGGAGTAGTGAAACAACTTGGCCAAACTGAACAGTCTCTACAACTACTTAACTTTCTTTATACACAGGGACATTAATGCATGTTACACTGCTCTAAAAGGATGAATAGGGAGAAAGACTGCCTTTTAGACTTCTCCTGGCTGCTGTATACTGGAGAGCTCTGGAGAGAAATGACTGACTTTTCTTGGGGAAGATCAGAGTCTGCTCGGCTTGGAAGAGAGGTTTCTAGTGCAAAGTGTGGGATAACCAGAAAGGGAGGGAGACAGCAGCAAAGGGTCCTGCAGCATGGCTTTCTGGAAATTGCTGAAATAACAAGGAGCACAGATTTAACTAGGCTTTCAGGGCTGTGGCAAGAAAGTGCCTAAGGGCACCACAGAAGTGTGTTGCAACCTAAGGAACGGTGGCCAGCTTGCTGGTCTTGGAGCAAACATGAAAGAAAAGATCAGTTCCCCAAGGACACAGTGGGGACATTTGTTTATTTCCATAATGTCTCGTTCTGGGTTTTCCTATGGAAAAAAATAGTCACAGTTCTAGTTTTGGATTTTGTTCTCCCAGTAAAGCGTAAGCTTTAGAGTGTAAAAACTCTCTCAAAGCTTACTGTAAGTTAAGACAGAGGCAGTCCCATGCCAGAACCTAAGATGCCCTTCCATCCAAGAAGTCAATATGAGATAAGTTAGTCAAAGACAGCAGGTTAGGGCAACAGGGGTACAAGACATGCCTGCAGATTTAGGAGGGGAGAACAGGAGGTTTTACACTGTGATAAAAACATAATTGCAGGAAGGACATGTATAAACCCCTTCAGAAAGTATAACATGGATGCTGATGGTTTACTTTCTGAAGCTTCAGTAGAACTATAAAGAAATGCTGGTTTAGAAGTCATAAGAAATTACAGATATTTGCTATAACCTTTATTTAGTGTAGAATATCCTCAGTTTCTTTCACAGGGTGAGGCTTGATTGTGCTCATCCTTCCTTAGAATACAAATTATCAAAAATGTGATGGTATTTTCAAGGGTTTTAAAGTCAGCTTTTGTTTTGCTGCGTAGATTTTTTACAGACATTTTTAAAATTTGTAGTATTCTAGCCCTGAAATTCTAACTCCAGCTAGAGTTCCTGCAGCTTTTTACAACAAGTATGCATGTATTTGGTTTCCTTATCTTTGAACACTTCCCTTTCAAGACACAAGCAAAAGAAGTCAGCATGCATGATGTTCCCATTATTGATCACACTTGTTTATCATCTCAATTTTATCCTACAATTTACTGTTCTGCAGCAAGATCAAATGATCAGGTTCAGTTATTATTTTTGTTGGGTTTGGTTACTATATTGGTTTGTCTATGCTTGGGCTAGTAGGTAACTGTCTGGTTTTTCATCATGATCTCAGAGACCAACTAGCCCCTTCAGACTGAGTCTTAATATTAAAAAAATCTCACTCTCCTTATTAGTGACCCTAATTTTTATAATTTGAAGTTAAAACATGTTTTACATATACAAATATATATATATAACTCTCTTGTTCTTTACTCCTGCAATAGCTGGTCATCCAATATCATCAATGAGAGCCTTTTGTTCTATCTTGAAATGCAGCCAGATATCAATGAAAATCCCCTGAAAAACATCAGAAGTGCTGCACTGATCACGTGGATTATTATGGTAGGTCAGCTGTGACATTGCTTAGTTTTAGAAATCACTTTTTTAAGACTGGTGGAACAGCACCCGCCTAGCAGATGATTCATGATTCTGGGGGATATAAATACCCTGAAAATCAAGGAAGAAAGGCAGAGAGTATGAGAGAGGAAGGAGCAGTCACTGTGGGCGCTTTTCACATATAAACTTTGCCAGAAATGTACCAAAAGCCAACTTTTTCTCCCATTTACTAGAGCTTGCATTTTCTCTGTGAGTGATTCTTGCCCATTTTAAGACACATTACAATGATTTCTAGTTTAACTTTGCATAACACAAGCTGTAAAATTTTTTGCTCACAATTCCTGAAGGTTCTCCAGTAAAACAGTCATTTTCTGGTAATTATCCATTTGTAACCAGAGTTTTTGTTATTATAAAGAATAATTGCTTCTTGTATCTTGACGTTTGAATATTTAGGGACAAATACATAAAAAGCATTGGAAGCAGTGAACCAAAAAACAGCTGTTAAGATAGCCTCTTACTCTACCCTACCCTCTCTTTTACAACTGGAAAATTTGACAAGGGATTTTTGAGACGCAATATTGCAGGTTCCTTTTCCAAAAGAGCTTATTCTGAAGCTATTGAATACCTGCAAAGCCTGAACATGCTTTGTGCAGTTAAGTCCCTGAGCAGTTTTGTCCTAAAGGGTTAAGCAGTGCAACAGATTTGATACAACCTCCTCTTTTGACAAGGAGAGAACACATCAATATGACAGGGTCCTTGCTCTTGCTCACCTGGAGAGCAAGAGGTCAGGTCTGTGAACTGAGCTATTTTTTAAATTGGCTGTAAAAATAATTTGCTCTTTTCTCGTGAGAAAAATGGTAACAGCTCAAGCCATTTACTTGCCAAGCATCCCAGTGCACTGAGAACAGAGACAATTTTGGGGGAAATCACTTGGGATTTTCTTTTTCAGTGTCTCTCCCTGTTTTTCTGTCCCACTTTGATGGACATTTTCACTGGTTCAGGAGTCTGCAGCAATTCCAGACAGATCAATTCCTGCTGCTTTAAAAAACATGACTGAGTATGCCAGTGTCTACTTTCGTGTATTTGACTTGGCTTCTACTAAAAAATGTAATATTTGCTTTTGTGAATAAAAAATGTCCAGAGCTTGTGGGGAAAGTTAAAAACACACCAGGGGATTGACCAGCTAAAATTAATGCTAGAAATCCATTTGGTGCTTATTGTTCTCTGTGGTGGCCTCAGTGTATCAGAACAACAGGTCATGGTATTTTGCTGGCGTTGAAAATGGAGCCTTGCTGGTGTAACTCCTGTCAAACTTCTCTTTGCTAGGGGGTTCTTAATCCAATGCAAGGCTTCCTCTTCACGTTAGCATTCTATGGCTGGACAGGATGGAAGGTGGACCTAAAATGGCGAAAAAGAGAAATACCCTGGGAATCAATGTCCTCATCCACTGTGGGTGAAAATACCTATCCCTCACCAGTGAACTACCAGAACAACATCCATGATTCAAAGAAGATAGCAGCAACTGACAGCCAACAGACCGATGAGGCTATAAGCATGATGTCTGAAGGTAACACTAGCAGTGATGACAGATTAACTAGGAGCTCTCCCATCTACCAGGGCTGGTAGTTTATAAGCACAGAGCTGGATCCCACTTCTGACATTCCCACATCATTGTGTGAAACTGTTGCATGCTCTGGAACTAGGTTTGTGCCCAATGGCTTGATGTCATTTCCTATAACTTGTGTGTGAGAGAAAGAGGGAGCATGTGAGGCCAAGGTATTATGGTTTATATTTTCAATTGCCTTACAGGATATGTGTTAACAGGTATAAAGGCTTGATCCTTTTTCATCAGTGTATCATCTCTGCAAAGATCAATGTTACTTATGATTGATTTTCATCCATTTTGTTTTAATCTGTCATGTAACTTCCATGTGGTAGAAGAGTCTTTTGTTTAAATAAATAGACTATTAATATGCTGAGATTTAAATTTCTTGCCTTGCTTGCTTTGCTTAGCATTAAATTCCTCACCAAAAATTACAGTTCTGAGGTTTCTGAGACAATATTTCCAGCCTTGACTCTCCGGTGAAACATTAGTGACACCAGCCTTTGATATAAGCACAAGTATTTCCTGTTTGTGGAGAATATCACTTACGTAGTCTTAATTTAGCTTGTGTGTATGAATTTTCAGTTTGGTTTTGTCTAGGGAGCTAACAGCTTAAAAAAAGATAAAATCAGGCCCAGACTAGACTCCATAAACACACCAGAATAACGGTTCCAGTTCACTCCTGGGTCAAGCAAAAATAACCCTTCAAACTGACTGTAATGTGGATTCAATTTGATCCTTATATATACGTGTCTACCAGGACTATGACTGTTAAGGGCAGCTGTATTAAGAGATAACATTTGCAAAAAACCGCTAGATGATCTGAGTGCTCATCAAAAACCAGAGTAAGTAGAATCAATAGTCCTTTCTCTGAGGTGTGCTCTATTTTGCTTTCATCTCCTGAACGAAGAGATACTACATCCATTCTCCTCATCTTTTCAGAGGATTTCACCCTTTTATGGTGCAATGCCCTAAGTACCTGTATACAAACAATTCCCCAGGTAGCTTGAAAGTTAAGAAAAAAATGATGACCATGTCTACCACAGGCTTGTAGCTTTCATGTCAGAAGTAAAATTAGTACCATTTAAGTTGCTTACAATACAGTTTGACTGATGGCATGGTGGAAGCCCCTTGAGCCCAGGTAGCCTCTCTCCTTTCCTTTAACATGCAGCCAGGGTTGGGCATAAAACAAACCCTATTTTTAAAACCCTGTTCACATCCCCTTTGGCTGAACTTCACTGGCTGTCCACACCTTTCTTTTCCAACCCAGTTCAGTCCCAGCTATTGTTAAATAAACATCTTGTTAAAGACAGCTGGAAGATTAGTGCAATAATACGTGAAGTTTAAGCTGCTCTGTTACTGAGGGGACTCCCAGGATGGTTTGAGATGCAAGATCAGCAGAAACTATACAGAATATATATTGACTTGCTATTTTATATAAATTACTCTTTAAACTGATCTTTTGATACAACAAAAAATGATCAGATAATTATTTAGGCAGATCATTACAAAGCAGTAGAAACCTTTGTGGTTTTATGGCTTTATATTGCTGTTGTAGTTGTCAGAAATACTGGCAGATCACCAGATTCTTTCCTTTCATCACAGTCATTTGTTTCCTAGCTAAGTATGTAGAGAAAGCACAGGGCCTTGGGAGCAGATTGTATCCATCCTTTTGAAACAGAGACCACATTTTCAGTGCAATACTCATCACAACTGAGTTCAAAAGAGCAGGAAAAGGGCGGAGATGGAATTGTTGGTAAACCTTTTCAGATGCTAGGGTGTGGGCCAAGCTACAAAACCCTAAACCCAAATGAACAGGCTCTGGCTTCACAGGAACAATCATGTGGCACAAAAGCACTTGGGAGGTGACAAGCAAGAGGCCCTGTGATGGCTCAGCAACTAATCCTGGCTTCCTTTTGCTGCTCCGGGGCACACATGGGACAGGGACAGACATGGTGCCTCAGCCCCAGCCCCAGGGCCAGGAGCAGGCCCTGAGAGATGCCTGATGGCTGCTGGTACTGGAGCACTCTTGTGGCTGGGAGAGTCTCTTGCAAGGGCCCCACTTTGCTCCCTTGCTTTTCTTGTTCTTGTTCCTTCAAAGTTGTCCTTGGGATGTGAGTGGTGTGTCTGTGTATTAGTAGTCCATTGGGATGTCATCAGGACAAATCAGGACTCAAGAGCTTAAGAAAGACAACTGACCTAATTCTGACACACTGAGAAAGTGATATGGGACATTGCAGGGCAAACCAACAGTGGTTTTTAACTTAGAAGTAGGCGTGAGGAGTTTCCTTACTTGCTGTTCCCAGTCTCTGGTGGATACACGAGGCATTCCTCCACAGCTTAAAATGGGATGATAACTGGTTCTGTTCATGTGTAACCATGACCACATTTAATTTCACCCTTCACAGACCTTGTTCTTACCTCACCGTTTAACAGTTCATGCAAAGCACTGCCCTCTCCAAGAGCTGCCAGGGTTGCCCATCTCTTGCGTCATTAGTGTGCTGTTGAGGTGCATCTCCCCATTGCCCCTGTTGCCTGTGCTTGCTGCTTGCACATGGGGCAGCCTTGGGCTCCTGCAGCCACCTTCATTTCTGGGGGAAATTAAGGGTGCACTCCAAGCACGAGCAAGGGTGCACTGTAGAATCATCAAACCAAACAGCTTGGGAAAAAGCCCAACTGTTACGATAGGACTGTCAAGCCCACCTCTAAACCATGTCATTAAGGGCAAACTGATCTCCCCTCATGACTGCCGATGATCTCCAGCCACAAACACAGCTCGTCTCCCCTTTCATAGTGGCCCCACACAATACAGATGATGCCCCTACCCCTCATGGCCACCCCTCACAGCCCATGGCTGCCCCTGCTCTCACCTCACAATCTCCCCTGAACTCTCTTGGCTGTCCGTCCTGTCCCATCATGATCTACCCTCATCCCTCACAGCTGCCTTTCCTGTCCCCTCATGACACGACTGCACCACCTCTGCCCCCATAATCTCCCCTCATGGCTGCCCCTGCTCTCCCTTCATGATCTTCCCTCATCACTGCCCCTTCTCACCCCTCATGGCAGCCCCTGATCTCCCCTCATGATCTTCCTTCATGACTGCCCCTTCTCTCCCCTCATGATCTTCTGTCATCGCTGCCTGTGCTCTCCCTTCAGTGCTGCCCCTGCCCTCACCTCACAATCTCCCCTCAGCTTTCATGGATGCCCCTCCTGTCCCCTCATGATCTTGCCTCGCACCTCATGACTGCCCCATGTCTCTTCTGTAACACTGACCTAAACACTGTCCTATGAAGTTTGTCATCCACTCACCACAGAGAGGAACTGTGCTCTTATCAGCACACAGACAAACATCCATGTTTTCATTCTCATGACAATTTGTGTCTGCATAGCCCTCATAGTGTGTCAATTCCAGCATCTGGATTTGCAGCCTATGATCACTTCAAATACACCTGTTTCTAGGAGTGTGCTGGCCTCCGCTCTGGTAAATGTGGGAAGTGCTTGTATCTGGCATGAATACTCACTTTCTAAGGTGCGTTTCAAACATGGCTTGGGTTAACAAGGGAGAGATCCTGTCAATACTGAAGTTCATAGATGTAGTCAGAATCTATGGTCTTCATTTTACTGTCTATGGGAAGGGTTCCCTTCCACAGTCACACAGCTCGTCAGCTCATGAGCAGGAATGCGGCTGTTTCTGTGGAATAGCAAGGTGTGACTCAAAGAACTAAACAGGGGATGAGGTCAGATATTGCCTAATCAATAAAGTACATGTGGCTAAAGCGCTGTTTTTGACAGTACAAAAATCATCAGTTTACCTTCTTGTGTCTGGGTCATGTGAGAGCACAACAAAGCCTTTCTGAATTCACTGAAAGTTAAAAAAAAAAAGAAGTAAATGTAAAAAAGTGGCTGAATTCACACAGTGAAATAAAACTGCTGTACAGGAACCTCATAAAGAGGTCATCTATGCATACAGGGCAGTGCAGTGCAGCAGAATCGCTTCTGTTTAACGCCCTCCATTCCTCCCAGCCAGCTTATCAAATCCGTCCACACTGTAAGTGTTCTCTGTATTCCCCAACACTCACTTTTAAGCCCTCAAAGATAAAATGAAAACTTCGAGGGTAAGCATCTTCTCATATCCTGAGATACTTTCTTATACACTCCTAGCTGTCCTCTGTTGCTGGAAGAGGGCATATGGAACTGGGTTTGACCTGCCAGCCTCATACATTTAATTACCATTTTATTTGGCCAGATGTTCAGGCTAATTGCAAACCAGAAGCATAACAGACCACTTCAATAGGCAGACTTCTTGCATACCAAAGCTCTGCATTTATGAGGTCCTCCATATGGCTGAATACCAAAATCCTAACTCCACCTCTCACCAAAGCCCTTCCTCTGGTCTTGTAGACCAAAGACATGGGCAAAGCCAGAAAGTGCAATGCTAAATGCTGTATCCCCTCCTCCCTGTATAACAGGACTTGTAATTCAGAAGTTGTCCTTGCATATTCATTACAGAATATGATCTGACCTTCTAACATTTTCTTAATTTTCACAGATTCCTCAGATTTACAGTAATCCCCAATGGAAATCACTGAACCACATGGTAGTTAATGTAATTTTGAAACAAGCCGGATGATGGCTGGCTCACTCATCATTTAAAGAGCAGACATGCATCTATAGGGACACTGAAGTTGGCAGCTGAAGAAGATGCAGTCTTACTGAGAGAAAAATAGAGAACACAGCCAAATCCAGGGATGCATCTGAATCTGTTTTCCTGGGGTTTTCATATTCCCTCGGATACACTGTGAACTGTACGGAAAGTTGGATCTCCCTCTGCATCTCTCTAAGCAAACTCTTAAGCATTCAGGGCTTTTGAAAGGCTGAATTCAGAGAGCTAAACTCATTGGAGCATTTGTAGGTAAAAGTTTCAAAAGGCTGAGAAAATTCTCTGAATAGCATTTGAGTTTACA